ACTCAGAAAATTTAGGATTAGGGTTGACCCGAATATTTTGTGAGTCGGGGTTGGGTCAAAGAATTCAACCAATTTATTATTCAGGTCGGGTTCGAGTTGAACTCAAAAACCCAAACATAACCCCAATAAGCAAGAAAGTTCGGGTCGGGGCCAGGTTAGCGAGTAAAGCTCGGGTCCGGGTCTTAGTTTTTGACCCGTTTATTATTCAGGACGGGTTTGAGTTAACCCTATTTGAGTCGGGTCATTCTCGGGTATGACCCGAACTCGACTCGCTAACTCGAATTGATGCCCGTAATCTATGGGAAGATTCTCTGCCCCCTCCAAGTATATCTGGTATTAATCCTGGGATTCGAATGGTGCTTGCTCGAATGTGTTCATTGGACAAACTGTCAGTTTGGCTTTTCTTATTTGTGATTGGTTGTTCCGGCAGCCACAAACTCTTTTAGCTTACAGGCCTTTATGAAGTCCTCGATGAGGCTCCTAAGGTGTTTGCATTCTTCTGAGTTGTGTCCATGATCTCTATGGTAGCTTCTTCGAAATTTCAAGTTGAACTTCTGGCCCTCATTGACTAAGGTTTCTTGAAGTTTTCTTTATCTCAAATGGCCACCTCTACCAGCTCGACCATCAAATTTCTCAAGGGGTCATTTTGAGCGGTTCTTGTTGTGTTGAAGATCGTTCGCTATGGTAGGTCGATCGTTGACCAGAGCATCGAGATTGTCTATCTCAAATGTTGCTCTTAGCATTCCCCTTATTTTCTGGGTGTGGCTAGTGGTTTTCATAGCGAGGACAAGTAGGAGGGAGAGGACCGCCTTTCTCTCTCCAACCGTCGACTGTTGATGCTCACTTCTGTGGCTAAGCATTGGCGAATGCTTTCCGGGCTTCTTCTCGATCGTTGAGGACATACACCTTCGCGGTGATATGGTGGTTGGCCATTTCCAGTAGTTCGACCATTAATTTTGGCTCGCATGAGTCTATAACATACTTAAAATGTTCGTTGCGTCGGGGCGGTTTGCGCGATCAGGGGCTATAGATTCTAAATCTCCATCATTTCCCGCTGGAATCTTGAATGTACGAGCAAAGTATCACTCCCTCTTTTTGTTTGACCTGTAAGAGAGCTTGAGACTTCTTTCACAGTTCTTTTCGCTCAGGAAGTGGGCCACGAATAACTTTTTGAACTCGTAGAAACAGGGGATGACTCCTGCTGGGAGGTCATTGAACCATCGGAGGGTCGACTCCCTCAACGTAATAAGGAACAAGTGACACTTGAATGTGTTGGTGATTTTCAATATTCCGACTGCCAACACAAAAGCGGCTACATGATTGGCTGGGTTAGTGAAACCCTTATACAAATCAAGGTTGAGGGTTTTGAACTTCTTTGGGGTTCAAACTTAAAAATTTGCCGAGAGAAGGCATGTTTGGCATGGCGAAGGAATATGGTTCGTATGGTGTGATGTCTTTCCATTAGGGCTAATCCGACGCTAACCTGGTAATGAAAATCTTCACCCCTTTCTTCTACTGGTTGGGATCTTCGACAGTTGGGCACCAGTCCATCTCGTCTGTCATTGGTCGTTGGTCTACCCCGACAATCGATTTCTTGGCGGCTATATTCTTGGGGGTTCTGCCTCTGTGGGTATTGGCTTCCTCTAGCTAGAGGTACTTGAAAAGTGCCTACCATTTGTTCTCTCATCTCTAGTATCAATTGTCCTTTCCTCTCCGTTACTTGTTGCCGCACAATTTCTCTTGTGCTATCTACGTCCACCGCATGGCTCAAAGCTTCTTGAACGGTTGTTTTGTCATGGTGTTGTACTCCTTTTCTTGTTAGTGACATGAATTCATGCTCATCGCATCTTTTAGGGTGTTTAACTAAAGAGTGTATGTGGAATCAAGCCCAAGGAATAGAGCGTGAGGTAAAAAGAGGATAGGAGGCAAAGAGAAAGTGAACAGTAAAAAATAGAGCATCTAGCCCATTTTCTCATAAAGTGGCCTCCTATTTATAGGTATACCTGAAGTACCTAACTACATCTAAGCCCCCCTCCTACGGAAATAAGATTAGGGGTATCAAAGTCATTGTACAATACATGAATAATAGAAAATATATTAATAAAGAATTTGTTGACCTATCGTGATAATTTCCGATCATTGGTTCATGGACATTCGCTTGATGATAGCTAGTCGAGTCGCGTGAGGATGACATAGAGGCCTCCAAACTAAATTCACCTGTGGGGTCGCTTCTCCGTATGATCCATCTCTTTAGTTTTTATGGTGGTGAGTTGTCATTTGTTCATCCGGCTGTAGAGTCGTTCTTCGTTCGACCGGTCATAGAACAGTCTTTTGTTTGGTCAGCTGTGAATTGATTCTTCATTTGTCCACGTGTGTCGGTCGGCCTATCAACTGATGATAACTTGTTAAGACCTTTAAGATGCATTGTTCCTTGGCTCAACATTAATATGTGACATTCAATAAACTTAATCAACGTTTGGTTGAACTCTTGTGTGATTTGACCGTGGGACCCACTTTATCTGTCATGTATCAAAATTTTTCTCGAGATTCGAGCTGTTGAGATCTTGTCATACAACTAGAACAATAATAACAGAAGAACAATTATGATATAATTGCACACAAAGTATACTAATGGCACATAAATGTTGAAGAAATATGCTTAATTTAACGACTTATTTGGGATCAATTTTTTTTTTGTTTTTTTTATTTTTTTCATACAAACATGTTTGTTTTGATGTGCTTTCTACATGTTTCTTTTTTTGTGTATAAAAATAAATTAAAATATTTTTGAAAACACTCAAAACAATTCATGAATATTTTCAATATTTTTAAAAACAATCATTTTTTAATCAAATAGCTAAATATATTATCTTTCAAATTAAAATATAAACAAAATAAAACAAAATAAAAATTGACAAGAAAAACAAATGATATCCCACACAGCCCCTAAAGAGTTGTGATTCTTGGAAAACCCATAAAAGCTATAAACCATTTAAAACTTGACCCTTATGTAGTTAAAGAGAACACTCAACTTCAAACAACTCACAAAAAGAGAACCTCACTAATCCTAAATGCTGACTGGTTCACAAAAACAAAATGTGTTGAAATTCAAAATAATGTGGAATAAAAAATTTTCATTGATATGAATGAGAGTATAAATAACTCTTACAAGAATCCTATAATAGGAAAAATAATAAAAATAAATAACACCACCAAATATTTCCAATAATCAAATCATATTAATTATTTGAAGATAAAGGAAACAACATAAAATAGAAAATGAATTAGCTCATCTTTTTATAACATAACTTTTTATATTTTATCTTTTCTAAAAAAAAAAAAATTATTAATATAATCATTAATATAAAAAAAATAATTTATTTTTCATAATTTCTCACAAGAATAAATTATTTCCCAATATAATTCTTAACACTCTCCCTCAAGTTGAAACATGGTTGAAAACCTTCAACCACGTTTAACATGAATTTGAAAACATCAAACGATGGGCGATGAAGATCCTGTAAAGTAGAACTTAAAGTCTTTATCCTGTACTGCGGTTGTCTTTGGCTACAATTATTGCAGTATCTGTAGATAGACGGAAAGTTCTACAGATAATGTTGTAGAAAAGTTTGCAAGTAGACAGTAGTGGTTGCAGTTCCTGCAATGTCTGTAGGTAGACAGAAAAATGCCACCAGTACCACTGTAGAGAATTTGCAGGGAAGTAGACAAATTTTATTGTCTTTGACTGTAGTTCATGCAATGTCTGTAGGTAGACTGAAAGCTCCTACATGTAAATTTGCAGAAGAGTTCGCACGGAATAGACAACTGTGATTGTCTTTTGACTGCAGTTTCTGGAGTGCTTATGGGAAAGACTTAAAGTTCAGACTTGGTTGAATTTTGAGTTTTGTTTGTCATGTGTTTCGGCCTAGAGAAAAGATAAATATAGGTTTCGGCAACATGAATGAAACCGACGAAAAAGGAAATGTAGGTTGGCTGTCGGGATTCCATTCAAGGATACATCCAATCTCACCTCTACAATAGTCTTTTTCAAATTGTTTTGCAAGCAAACCAATGATGAACTTCATCTCTTCGGTTGGGAGTGTCATTGGAGAGAGAAATTCCTGCTCTTCGAACATTGGTAGCGGCTCTTCACAAGAGAGAAAAAGCAAATGACACATCACACCTAGCAAATTCTGCTAACATAGGAAGTGACAGAAGAAAGAGCAGTTAGAAACGTAGCTCCCCCTGACACTTGCACAGGGAAGAAAAAATAGTGCCGGAGAAAGGGTCGGCGATGGATCCGGCTGCAAGACCCACACTGAATTTTTGTGAAAGAACAACAGGAAATGACATGAAGCAGTGTCAGATTTCAAGGGAAAAAAGCAGTGTTGTTTCCTGCGACTGGGAAGAACAGTAGAAAAAGACCAAGATGAGTCCCGCAAAGTAGAAGTTTCCAATTCAGGAAGCGCCGGCCAGCAGACAAAGCTTGCAGGGAGAGAAGAAGAAAAAATCATTGTTTCAAATACCAGGATGAACGCCCCTCCCTTCCCGCACAGAAGATGACATGAAGGAAGTCCGACAATTCTCAAAAGAAGACCGGTGGCTAGAGTACGAAATTATGTTTTTATATCATGTTAAAATTCAGAATAATGTGAAGTACAAATGTTTCATTGATATAAACGGGAGTATAAATAATCCTTACAATAATCCTATAATGGGAAAAAAAATAAAAATAAATAACATTAAAAGAAAAGATATATCACCATACATCTCCAATAATCAACCTATAATAATTATTTGGGGATAAATGAAATAACATAAAATAGGAAAACCTAAAATTAAAAAGGAATTAGCTCCTAATCTAAGGAAATAAATATAAAATAGGAAATAAAATAACTCATTAATACAAAGAAATAATTTATCCTTCATAATTTCTCACAAGAATAAATTATTTCCTAGTATAATTCCTAACAAAATGTAAATCACATAAAAACAATCACCTGCCATTCTTCAAAACCTTGCATGCTCTCAGAGTTGAGTTTCTTCACCGCAATCACCATTCCAAGCCCACTTTTTGCGGGACTCAAAGTTTTCTCATCAACCCATCCCTTGAAAACCTTTCCAAATCCTCCTTCGCCAAGAAGAGTCTCAGGCCTAAAATTTTTTGTCGCACTCCTTAGCTCTGCAAATGTAAAAATATGAAGATTCGGAGATTCCAAAATCTTCCCATCAGGAAATGGCTCATCAACGCTCGCTCCGCTACTTGTGGATTGCCCAAATGCACTGATGGTGGACGTTGAAAACTTCCCAGTGGTGGTTGTGCTGCTAATTCCTCTGGACGACAGCACTAATACATAATACAGGAGAGAATAAGAACCAAAGTTGTGATAAAATGTGAGCGGACTTACAGAAAAAAATTAAGTTTAAATTAAAAATTAAAACTTTAACACAAATTGAGTCAAAGTTATGATTTTGAACCATAAATATATCTGATCAAAGTCCAACTTTTGGAGCCCCAATAGATTCCCTATACCAACTCAAGACTTAATAGCATTCAAAAGCTTTTTGTTGACTGATATGATGAAGCAGAAGGAAGTATTCAGAACTATCATGACATAAGAAGCATAAGAGATCACAACTTTCAGATAATACATCTGAAACTGATTAAAATAATGACTATTTTGAAAATCAGACAACCAAAATAAAAACTTGGGGTAAAAAAGGAATCTAAACAACAAGAACAAGATGGACTCGAAGCTTGCGCTGAGTAACATACCTGAGCCGGTGTTCTGTGGGCTCAAGCTTCTATTTTTAACAGAGAAACTACAGAAATTTCCCATGAACAAACAGGTTCTAACTCTCCCGCTCCGAACTTGCAGAAGCAATCACGGCAGGGGAAGGGGGGGTGGGAGAAGGAGCTGACCGTTGCTTAAAAAGGCTTTTTTGGTCCGGTTTGCTCCGGTCAACGGTCGCTGCACCAGGAAGTCTATGGAGCAGACCTTTCACTTGAGGTTTCCTGGACTCGCTTTGGGTTTGAATGATCTGCTGTGTGGCTTAGAACAGATATGCGCGGTGTAGGACCCAATAAAATTGGCCGTCTGTTGAGCTTTTCTATGCCACCGACAACGAAGCGTGAAATAACAGAATGAAGGAATTAAGTTAGGTCAACTCAACTTGAGGTGATATAAGGAGAATGAATGAAGTTATTTCTAAAGTAGTTTTGTGCAGTTTACATCAAAATACATGTAATTTTTTTAATTTCATAAATAAAGGCATATGGATTTTTAAAAGGTCAATTTTGTAATATTTTTATGGGGGGATTTACACTTAATATATCAAGGTTGTAAATGTATTGTCGGATGCAATCATGTTTAAGTGCAAGTCGCCAAGTTTGAACAGATTGGAGTCTTACAATTTTTTTTTTATAAATTTGGTTAACTAAGCCTAATTGGACGAATATAGAATGCAATGGGACATTTTTGAAAGAGTTGTATTAATAAGAGTAATTTGGAATAGGAATAGGGAGCTAGAAAAAAAAATTTGGAGCAAAAGTACGTGTATGAGCCACGTTTGATGTGAAACATATATCTATGTTACTTTTTAAGTATATTATCCGTGTGTTATGCATTTAACATTAAATGCACTTTGTTGAATCCTAAAGTGTCGAAAAAACACACCCAAGATATAGAAAATTTTAATAGGAGGAGGTGAGAAAAAGTATATCATAGCGCAATAAAGAGGGAATTATTCTTTATTCATGTTGTGAACCCCCTATTTATATGACACGTTTCAGTCCTATAAGATTACATATCAGTCCCCTTATCATTTGCCTTTAAATGTGGCTTTTTAGTAATTACAAAGATACTTGAATATAATAAAAATGATGAACTAATGTGGTTGGTAGGAATAGGTCTTGGGGAGATGCTCGTTGCTTGTGGGGAGATGGCGCGTCTCTATGTTAAGCTATCGCAACCCAACCAAGGGATGGGAAGAATAACCTCTTCAAGTTGGGTGGCAAATTCATGTATGAACGGTTGCTTCATCGAGGGTTTGTCTTGGATGAAACCGCAAACATTATTTTAGTTAGGTTTTTTCTTTCTTAGGTTAGTTTCCGATGGTTTGGCGGGCATAAAAAAGATTGATTAAAATGATTTTAATTCCTTAAATTCCATTTTAAACCAATTAAAGACTATTTACCTAACATTAGCATCTCCCTACAAATTAATTGTACCATACTATATAGTTTGATGTGATTAACCTAGTTGATTCTACCATAGCTCTCCTGAGTCATTAGGCATCACAACACATTTTAACGATTCACTTGGTCCGAATGAAAAGTAAATGAAGTTCTAAAGGTTAATCGTCATATTAAATACTTAAATACAATTTTGAAAACATTTTTCACTCATATACATCCTACTCAAACATCACATAGTAAGGTAAAGAGCACTACTCATAAATCATGAAAAACAAACCACAAAGCTTCATTGAAAAAATGGCAATATACTATTTGATATGTTTATAGAAATAAAACAGTACAAACACTCAAATATTTATCTTCTTCTCCTTTACAAAGCTTTGAAGATGCTTCACCCAAGGAATCATGATCTCTATTGCTATTCCGTAGCCTCTCCTCCCTTTCAACTTAATTCCTCATCAAATGACTAATTAAAACCTTTCCTACTCAATCCTTCAGCAAAAGCTATAGTCCTGCCATCACATCTCTTTATATAGCCTTCAAAAATCTTCCATTAATCTCCCTTGGTTGGTTGTTCACTCCCCACGACCTGCAGAAGAATTGCTCAAAACAGCCTTAAGCAGTTACTGACGCCCTAGGCGCCAACCTCTTGGGTTGCCAGACTGAGATTGGCGCATAGGCGCCCAGGGGTCTGACTTCAAGTCTTGCACATCCTATGTCAGACTTCATGTCTTTCACATCTAACTTTTTTCTCTAAAACTATGCAATAGATTATTGCAAGCTCTCATCAGCTCCTCATTTCAGTTGCAATAGAGATTGAGCGCTCTTTTTAGGTCTTAGAGCGCCGACAAATTAAGATCGAAAAATCCAATTGAATTCCGCAAAATAGGTTTCTAACCATCTTAATGTAGACAATCTCAATGTGGTGAAGAACAACTTACATTTGAGAGCGTCAGAGATTTTTAGAAGACATATGGAAAATTCAAACTACACAAGGTGGTCATTGGAGTCTGAAAGCCCTTTATATGGCTCTAAGGCGGGCATCTTAAACTTCTTCGGGCTTCAGCTCCTGATACATGTAGCACAAAGGCATTATCCAACTACGGCTGCACCTCGATTCACACCGGTCGACTCCTCTTCTTCAGGGCTGATTCGTTGTTATCGTGATATAACCCATCATTAGTTTTCTTCTATAGGTGTATTTTTCTTTTCCGATTGTTTGTTGTTGGTTCCACTTGAGGGGGGTTAAGTGCTTCTTCTCTGACAGGTTCTTCTCCTGGGATTAGAGTCATTGCTAGGGTAACGATCGTCTGAGCACCTCTGCCAACTGTCTTGATATCTGGTTGCTGATTTGGTCCTCAAGTCTTGCAAATCTTGTTGGATGAATTGTTCCAGGAACTCCCTAGTGCATACTGCTCCTACATTATTCCTTTGATTGGATTCTCCTTATTGTTGTTACTGAGCTCCTCTTCATGTAGACAGAATATTTCCATGCTCACCGCACATTAAAAGATGTTGAATCCTAAAGTGTTCAGGAAATACACCCAAGGTATAGAACGTCTTAACAGTGAGAGGTGAGGAAAGGTATATCAAAGCGTAATAAAGAGTGCATGATTCTTTATTCATGATATGGACCCCTATTTATACGAATGGTCTCAGTCTTACAAAATTATAGATCAGCCCCCCTCATCATTAGCCTTTAAAGGGGGCTTTTTTGTAATTACAAAGATACATGAATACAATAAGACTAGCGAACTGATTCGGTTGGTAAGAAGTTTGTCGATTGCTTCCCTCGCTTTGACTCCATCGGTAATTGTTGATCAGTCTGAAAGCCGATCATCGTCTTATGGGAAACTCGCTGGCACACTCTTCTAGTCATTCGATCCAAATTCCTTCTTCGTTAGCTTCCGGTTCATCAGATCGGTATAACCTTCCTTCTGAATTGTCTGTTTGCTTTGAGATTCGTGCTGACATATTTTTTTTATACACACTTCTTCCCAACATTTTACTAACTTTTCCTAATAAAAATCACCACACTCCCCCCTCCATTGTCACAGCCTTATCTCTCCCACCCATACTCTGCCAGCCTAACCCCCTCTCCTCTATCTCTCTCCGGCCATCTGAAACGGCCCACCCCTCCCCCCTCTCTCTCTCTTCATCTAGCAGAAGTAGGCACCCCTCCTCTCTCTCCCTCTCTCTCTCTCACCACCCACCCAGTCGATCGCTTCCCTTACTTTGACTCCATCGGTACTTGTCGATCAATATAAAAGTTGATCATCGATCTAAATGTCTTCTTCGCTAGCGTCTAGTCCGTCCGATCAGTAGTACATTTCTTTTGAACCGTCTGTTTGCATTGAGATTCATCCTGACATATTTTTTTGTATAAACACTTATTCCAAGTATTTTACTGACTTTTCCCACTAAAAATCACCACACTCCCCCCTCCGTCCTCACAGACTTCTCTCTCTCACCCATACTCTGGCAGCCCAACCCCATTTCCTTCTCTCTCCAGACATCTTAAGCGATCCACCCCTCCCCCCTCTCTCCTCAACCAGCAGAAGCAACCACCCCTCCTCTCTCTCTATCTCTCACCACCCAACTAGTTGAAACACCCCCTCTCTGTCAGCTTTCCGTTCGCCGTCGAAGCAGCCCTCTCCCTCTCTCAGAGATTATTCGTTAAAGTTTTGAGAAATCATGGTCTTTTTATGTTTTAATATTTAAAAATATTTTTTACGAAATATTTTTTTGTTGGAAAACTTTTGTAGAGCAATTTTTTTGAATGAAATTATTTTTTATACCATGTTATTAATTAAAAAAAATGGTTTTTCAATGTATTTAAAGAATTTATTAAAAGTTTTATTCGTCCATGAGACATTTAATGGATTATTTGAAACATATACCATACAAGAAAATAATTGTTATATGAAAACAATGAACCACAAAACTTATATATGAGAACCAAAACAATGTTACCTTAGAACTAGAAACAATTGTACCTTAGAACCAAAAACATTTTGGACATGCATATTAAAAAGCTCCTTTTAAAATTTTATTCTTAGGGGAATAGTTTTTTTTATTTTATTTTAATATACAATGATTTTTATGTATATATTAATTTGGGAAGCTAGTAAGTTATATATATAATGTTTATATATAAATATATATATATATATATATATATATATAACTTGAGTTAATTTCAATAGATTTGCAAAATATTGGAATTAACTGGTGAATGCTCGATTGAATAAACTAAAGATTGTATGACATCCGTTTAGTTCTGCGAAAATCATTTTATCTATAAGCCGACAATTTCCCCTATTTAATACGAAGAATTAAATAAGGTTTATATTAAGCTGGGTTCAAAAATGCTTCATATAAGGGCAAGCTCCTATAGTTAATTACATCTTAGATAACCAGAGTCACTTAAGAAAACTCTCGATAAAAATCAGAAAGTATTATCTTCAAGGAGGTCAAAAGGATAGGACTTTTCAACGAGATCAGACAAAGATGTGTGAAAGGGTAATGACTCAAATTTGGAACATTCATTGTAGAATCCAAAGGAGGAAGGACTAGGGGATGTCATAGATCCGGAGGAGAACCTCAGTGACTTTCGAAGCTATCCTATGGTTTAGCTTCAATTTAGAGGAGAAATATTTAAATGTTTTATTTTGCCAATTTTATTAATTAGGGCTTATATTTATGTGAAACGATCACACAAATAGCCTGGAAGATGTGAGGATTTAGATCGTGACAGATGACAACCTCAGAATCGTAAAACAAGTTAGGGCTTAAATTATATAGCAAAGCTATACAAAAGCCTAAAGATAAATTGAGGATTTATGTTTGCACATGCAAACATTCTCGAAATCCTATGGATTTATT